AAAAAAAAAAAAAAAAAAGAGGAAGATGTCCTCTCTCTCCACAAAGAACAGTAGGCAGGCATGGTCCTGGGGGACCAGGCCGGGGAGCCCCGAGAAGTACAAGGCACTTTGCAGCTTGGCAGAGTCCCCTGCCAACCGCCACGAACAAGACGTCTCAGTGTTTGTGAACGGATTCTCCTATGACACATCAGCCTTGTGTGAGTGGGGAGCTACTCTGGGATCTCTCTCACCACAGTTGGTGTAGCCCACCACGGAGACCACCGGGAACTCCCGCCGCGTCCGCTGCTTGCGCAGGAGATGTCTCTTCTTCCTCAGTTTCTCCAGGGCCTTCCGAATCTTGATTTCCTTTTCTTTCAAGAGACGCCGCTGAACCTGCTTGAAAGATTCTCCTAAAAAGACCAGAGACGGCAAGTCGGTGAGCAAAATGTCAGGAAATGAAAAAGAAGCCAGCTGTGCCACTGAAGGTCCCAGGGGGTGTGGGCCTGCCAACCCCAGGGCACTTAAGGACCCGCCTGGCCTGCCATCCCCAGGCAGATCCTGCCCCACCCAGTCCTGTTCTGTGAGAATAGGTTCTGCTGGCGGAAGGCGGCCTTGACCCTGGACTTTCACCCTGTGAGGTCGAAAGCTCCCCTTGAGCTGGGAGGAAGTGAAGCTGGAGGGGGCACCTCAGAGGACAGCCAGGATGGTGTCTGCTGTGGGCTGAAAAGGGACCCCAAAAGGTGTGTCCACATCCTAACCCCAGAACCTGGAATGGGACCTATGTAGAAATAGGATCTTGGCAGACGTAATTAAGGATTTTGAGATAAGGTCATCCTGGATCAGGGTGGCCCTAAATCCAGTGACAGGTGTCCTCATAAGAGACAGAAAAGGAGACACAGACACAGAGAAGCCACTTGAAGATGGAGGCAGAGACTGGAGTGATGTGGTCACAAGCCCCGGGATGCCTGGAGCCACCAGGAGCTAGAAGAGGTAGGAAGGATCCTGCCCTGGAGCCTCTGGAGGGAGCATGGCCCTGCCTCACCTGGATCTCACACTTCTGCCTCCAGAACTGAGACAGGACAAATTCCTGTCGTGTTAAGCCTCCCAGTGTGTGGTCATTTCTTAGACCAGACCTAGAGAACTACTACGATGTCCTAATTTGCCTGAACATTAACACAAGACGAAGTCCATGTTCAGCCTCACCCGTCAGGATCTTTCTGGGCTGCCCTCCCCTCTCCAGGGCTGGCCAATGTTGACAGCCCCCCATCCAGGCACCCAGTGACAACCATGGATGCCGTGCACATGCAGTGACACATTACCTGAGCCCATGATGTAGCGGGAGCCCCCTCTTCGCCCATCCAGGTCATTTTTCAGGTTTGACCTGGAATTGAAATGGGACGACTTACTAGCTGCAGATACGTCCCTCCCAGAGAGAGCTAAGTGGAGGCAATGGTTCGAAAGCGCAGGCGAGGGGGACACGTGGCCGGGGGGGGGGGGGGGG